CACGTTTCCGGCTACACCCAGCATAGATCTCGTCATACATAGATGGGTCAGCAATATGGACTTCTCGCGGGTTTATTCGCACGATTGGGCCTTCAAATATTGTCAGTATGGTGCATTAACAGTGGTCCGGCAGAATACCGTATGCTCTATGCATCTTCTCAATTTCCCATATGAATTTTCCACCACGAATAACATCGTGGTAGAATTCATGCAGGTGAGTGGAAGCTGCTAGCTTGGGCCCTGGGATTTTGCTAAGGGGATGAAAATAGATACGGTAGATCGTTCTCGCAGAGACACAAAAGAAAACCAAGAGTAGTAGAAGAAGGGTGTACATCATGAAAAACCGTCAATTTATCTTGGATTTTCATCGAAACCTGCCTCTTATCGGTGTAGTTTGGAGTGATACCAGCTACCCATATATAGTAACAGTCCCTGCTCAGAAGGCATGCACATCTTGCGAATCCCCTTGACGAGCAACGCTAAGAGGATCTCATCTTCAGACCTTGAAGTCGGGGCGAAAGTCCGTCCAATGCATTGAATCGTTGGAGTTCGGCGCATTCAGCCAGACCTGACTCATGTTTACGATAGGCGGTTGTGCAGAAGGTACCCTATCGTGTGGCTTTCTGCTTCCATTGAAAGTCTGCGGCTAAACTAGCTACGTTATATCCCGGTTAGACACAAGTCTCGAATGAGGATCTGGATACACCGAATTAGCGCCAGAGTCACCATAGTCGGAATAGTGTCACTAGGAATAGCAAATAGTCGTCGACGATCCTAATCTCGAGTAACCCATTTGTCGAGAATACGTTGCTATGTTCGGGTGCTACTGAGCAGAAGGTGGCTGAGCGAACAGACATCTGGCTTGCAGCTGTGCCAGGGCCTAGGTGAGTACTCGTAAGCTGATCATGATTGTGATTAAGACTTTGATACTCTGACCGACACAATGGCTTTGTTGAAAGAGAGGCGTGTTATATTAATACCTTTCATCCAGGACTATAAGCTTTCAGCCTAGTTGTGCACCAGTGTCATTGGATCTGGGCCGCAATATGGGCCGCAATATCATATCCAGCGTGTCGTCCCGTCTCCCAGCCGATCTCAACAGATTACAGTTAAGCAGCTAACTAATTATATGAATGCAGGAACTGTGTTATAACCCGCTCAATATCAGATTTGCAATCACTCTAGGGTTTCGGCCTGCGTCCGACCTGATTGTAGCGGACATCCGCTGTAGCCGCCACCGCATATTCTCCGAATACTGTCCAGGACGTCCGACGCAGGTTTGCTTCAGGACTGCATGATTTACGAGCAGGACCAATACTAGTGACATAAGCCACATGCACGGGACTATTTTATGACGCACATACATATGCCATATTCTCCGATATCCAAATAGGCCCGTTGAGATATTAGTAAGAATCGAGGCGTTGCAGTTATACCATATGATGGACGGTCCTTTTTAATCAAATGCATACTATGGTATAGAATTCTTCTCTCAACGACCCAGTCAGTCATATCATGTTCACTATAAAAACAATCACTGAGAAGGGAAGATTGTCTCATGCAGGACAACTGCAGCAATCACGCCAACAGGCGGCCCATTCCGCCACCGTTGATATGGTCGGGATTTCCGAGTAGCTATAGACCAACTAGGGTTGGTAAAGAGTAAGTAGCGGTGGAGAGTTCATACAACTGATGATGAAGATGTTTGCTATGAGTCCAGAAGATTAGCAAGAAACCTCGCAGGAACTTACCCTACTTGGTTGGTGCTCGGACAAAGATGCCATACTAGGCTGAGATGTTGCCAGGCACAGCTGTATAGTGTGCTCACCGATTCTTTCTACATCTTTCTACATGATGGACTTCACATATAGAGGGGTAACTAAGGTACAGGGATTTAATTCGGACAATCAGCATGGGGAGGGATGATTGGCTTTGAGTTCTCTCATTATTGCAACTGGTACATCTAGTCAATTGTCAAGTAATATCTGGAGTATCAGTATCCCTTAATAATAGTAATCAGATAAAGGACTAACTTGACAAACAATACGCACATCAAACAGACCGGACTCAGCATGCATACCTGCTGCTATACGCGGCGTCTACGTATACACTCTCAATGAGCAGAAATTGTCCTCAGTCTCACATACTAATTAACCAATCAATACAATCTCATCCATCTATATTCACCCTATGATACACACAGTCCTTCTCCCTATGTACTCCATACTATCAACCCCATACATACACATACATAACCACATCTAGATCCCAAAAACCTCCTTGACCAGCGTCTTCTTATTAACTATATCCCACACATAGTCAGTAAACCGTAAACAACGTAACCGCTTCAAACCCAAGTAAATAGAAAGAAAAGAAAAAGGGAATAAACTCACCCTTCCCCATCGCATTCCTCGGAATCACCCCCTCCAGGACCTTCATCTCCTGTGGCATCTTATACCCAGCCAAGCGATCCTTCAACGCCCTGCGCATATCCAACGCACCCCAGGGCTTATCGCCATTCTTCCCACCTCCTTTACTTCTATACTCGGGCCTGAGGACCACGATCGCGGCGACTTTCTGGCCCCATTGGTCCGAGGGGAGGCCTACGACGGCGGCTTCGGCGATTTGGGGACTATATCCACCAACAATCAGTATTTCGTGAATGGTGGTGGTGGTGGTTAATGTTGTAGATGGAAGGGGAAACTCACAGCGAAAGCAACTCCCTCTCGACTTCCAACGCGCTCACTTTCTCTCCGCCTGTCTTGATGATATCTACGCTTCGACGACCCTGGATGAAGTACATTGGGCCTTGGGCCCATTCGCCGCTTGTGCCGTGGCCGGCGGTGGGGACGGGTCTGCGGACGGCGACGTCGCCGGTTTTGAACCACGGTCTTTTGTTGGGGTCTGATTCGTCGGGGACGAAGGATTCTTGCGTGGCTTTTTCGTTCGCCCAGTATTCTTTGAAGATGGTGGGGCCGCGGAGCTGGATCTCGCCTTCGCGTTCACGGCCCGTGGTGGTGTCGAGCTCTTCGCCGGGTTTGATGACTTCGTTGGTTTCGGTGTCGACGAGACGGGCTTCTACCGAGGGTAAGGGCCAGCCGACGCTGCCGTCGACGCGGTCGGTGAAGTCGAGCCCGCAGCTGATGGCCATGCCGACTTCGGTCATGCCGTAGCGTTCGAGGAGGACGTTGCCGTTGCTGAGGTCCGACCAGGCCTTCTTTGTCGGGGTGGGGAGGGCGGCGGAGCCGGAGATGTTCAGGCGGAGGTTCTCTGGGGAGATGGCCTTTCGGGCGGCTTCTTGGGTGGGTGCGGGGAGGTTGGGGAAGGAAGTTAGCAGGCGGTTGTAGATTGTGGGCACGGCTGTGAGGAAGGTGATTTTGCTGCGTGTGGATGGGGAGGTTTGGGGGAGGAAGGGGGCGGCGAGGCGCGTCCAGACGGCGTCGGTGTTGAAGGGGAACATGAATTCGATGGAGGAGCCGGCCAGGATGGGCGTCACAATGGCGTTGACGGTGCCGTGGATGTGGTGTAGGGGAAGGAGGTGGAGGAGCCGGTCTTGCGGGGTGTAGTTCCATGCTTGGAGGAGGGAGGCCGCTTGGGCTGTTAGGGCGGATTGAGGGATGAGGACGCCTTTCTGGGGGTTGTTAGTTCTGCAGATTTGTGAAGGTGTTGAGGATCATACGGGTCTGTTGGTGGTGCCGGATGTGTAGAGCATCATTCCACCGCGCGATTCCACACCGATGTCCTCTAATGACACTGAACCCGTGTTGCTTGCGCCCACTTTGATCTTGTCCTTGATATCCAAGACAGGCTCCCGATCCAGACCCGCCTTGACGAGTTCTTGTGCCTTCGCTGCGTACTTCTCCGTCGCAAGCAGCACCTTGGCCTGCGAGTTATCCATGATATACTTTAGTTCGCCGACGGGAAATGCCGGGGATAGAGGAAGGGCAATGGCATCGCTAGCGAGGATGGAGAGCAGCGTCACTAGTACAGTTTGTGAGCGAGTATCCCATTAACATCATACATGAGATGGTCACAGTACCTACGTAGTCGTAGCTATTCTCAGCCAGAAACGCGACCCTCTCGCCAGACAAGCCATCTTTTCCACCTCCGGCAGACTGAAGCAGCCGGTCCTTAGCTTGCAGTACATCCGCAACCAGATTCCCGTATGTGAACGATCGAGCAGACGCGCTATGAACCACCGCCAGGTTTGATTGATCGTGGTCCTGGAGGGCGCGGAAGAGAGGGAGATTCGGCAGGGAGGAGATCGATCGACGAACGAGAGGTGTCACTAAAGACCGGGAGCTACTTTTAGGAGCACCACATCTCCACGCTAGAAGGGTGTGGAGCGAATGTTGACGAGACGGAGAAGCAATCGAGCCCCGGGAGAGGAGCGGCATCAAAGTGCGTCCGGACATGACTGAGAGATGCGTGGGAACCGTATGACATGACCCAGCAGCCGTCAGGATATCTCGAGCTTATAATTGCCTCGGTGCGCAGGTAACCCACGTCAATCAATGGATTGATCGATACCCAAGGCAAAAGATAAAGGCGGATTGCGCGACGGAACTGATGTCATTTGGGGAGGAAGCGCATCGGAGCTTTGCGGTCTCGGCAACGGCACTTGCTTTGCTCCGGCTATCGGTGGTTGGAGATGCATTGGAAGCAGCATGTTAAGGTTAGGAAGGATGGTGATAGCTTTGCATGGAACCAGTCAGATTGGCCGATGCTTGTTCTTTCCGGAAGAAAGAATAACACGCCTGCCAGGGTGATGACTTAGTATTGAAAGGCATCTAAATGCGACGAAGCAACGGACAACCCCCGACCTCCGCACCATTCCCAAAACAGTAACCCGCCCACTCCGTGGCCAATTGCGGTCTCCCGATTCTCATCGCTCAGCATCAAGAATCCCCCTCCGTATCTCTCAATTAAAATACTACACAGCATCATATCATATCTCTCCCCCCACCTTATCTTCCACCGGGACTACCGCTTCCCCCTCAATGCTCCCCCGCGCCTCCCTCTCCGGCTTCCTCCCCCGCCGCGTCTTCTCCCTTACTGCTACCAGAATGGCCTCCACCTCCGCAACCCCCGTTGAGGATCTCATTCGGGAGAAGGTATGTCCAATGCCCTCTTACATACTTCTATCCGGTTATATATTCTCATACTAACTTACAATGCTAAGCTTACAACCGCCTTCACTCCCTCCACCCTCATCATCCGCAATGATTCGCATCTACACGCACATCATAACGCCATGCGCGGATCGACTTCGAAAGAGACCCATTTCCAGTTCGTTGATACGCCCCTCTTCTCCTGGTACTTGTTGGTCTGACTTATATCTGTCTAGTGTGACGATCACATCTCCCTCGTTCCAGTCGAAGCCCCAGCCTGCGCGCCATCGTATGGTCTATGGTTTGTTGAAGGAGGAGATGAGTCGCGAGGGTGGCATCCATGCGCTGCAGTTGCGGACAAAGACGCCGGAGGAGGAACAGCGGGAGGAGGAGAGGAAGGCGGCGAAGGCTTGATACAACATACAGCATATACTTGATACAGGAAGGGTTGATGTTCTTTCATTTGACTTGATCTGCGATACCCATGAATAAATGCATTATACGGTCGATCGAGTGCGTTCTACATACAGTTCGTACATACATCAAGGGATATTATTATTAAGGTAGTCGGATTATTACATGTTCTAGCGCCAAAGGTAGGGGCAACGAAGAGACTCTAATATATACACTGCGATAGCATCAAGCGCATCCTAGCCAACGTGCAGCAACAGTAATTCATCAGGCCGCATACGCCCCAAGACGCAGAAACTATACACGACCGATCAGTGGATACAGACAAACAGCGACGAGCGATCAAGCAGACATAGGAGACGATTCAGCAGGTGGGTGCTTTTCAGCCAAGACAAGGCAAAACGACAAAGTGGTATAACAACGGAACAATCACAGCAAGCGAACGATCCTCGACTGGCTCGGCTTACCGTAAGCGTAGACAAGAAGTAGAGCATCGGACGAGAACACAAACGATAAGAGGTCGTTACAGCCTTGCGTAAACTTGAACGGAAAGCGAACAGAAGCAGGACAAGGTTAATACCTCGGAGGGTATCTGGAGAGATGAAGGGCATTGGCATGGCGAAGCATTTATATCAGCGCAAGGTCGAGTCATCAGATCAAGCCAAGTATAGCATATTGCATATGCCATAAAAATCACGGGCTCTATTTCGAGGACTTGTTGGCTTCCGTGACACCGACGGCAACACCGACGACAATGGCGATGATAAGAACTATGGATACTGTTAGCCTGGCCTATGAAGCGGGTATCGCATGGGGACACTTACTGACGACCAGCAGAGCATACCACTTCCACTTTCTCGCCCGACGAGCGCTGGCAATAGCTTCCGTGATCTGGTTGTTCGCGTTCGAAACGTTCTGCGCAACATTGTCTGCATCCTGGTTGATCTGCTCCACAGCAGGCTCCTGCTGGTGGACCAGCTCCGCCACTTCCTGGTACAGGCGGCCCAGCTCCATCATATCCTGCTCGATCTTGCGAATGGCGGCCGATCGCTCCAAAGCGGCCTGCCTGGCGTCGTTTGCCTGTCTAGTCCGGCTACCCGTAACCTAATCGGAATGTTAGCATGAACTTGCTGAAACCTCTCGAAAGAGCATACCTGGAAGCTCTGCTCCTGGCCCAACAAGACATTGTCCACACCCTGCTCGATCTCCTCGGGGGAAGCTTCGGGGTTGGCGATCTCATAACGTCTGCGAACCTGCTCCCTCAGGCGCTTCTGGAAGTCGGACTGGCATCTCTGGTACTGTTCGATCTCGCGACGGAGGTTCCGGCTAGTGACGTCGATCTGGGTCTGCACACGGCTGTCGCCGGAGCCGGGGGTCTGCTTGACCTTCTTCAGAAGATCGCGGAGGTAACGGAATCCGTTGTTCACTTCATCCTCGATGTAGTCCAGAGTCTGGCGAGCGACCTGGTCCTCCTTTCCGGTACTCGAGTCGAGCAAAGCGTTCTGAGCGGCGGCAAGCTGGCCCTCGCGCTTGGCGCGGAGATCGGCAATACCGTCGTTGATCTCTCGGCACTTGTTCAGCAGCGTCGTCGCGTCGGCCGGCTGGTTGTAAGAGCCCATTTCTGATGTGCGATCGCAGGTTAGGCTATGGTCGGGTCAGACAGAGGGGCTGAAGGTGGTGCGCTTACCATAGCTACCGTTGCCCTGCTCCATGGCATTGGCGTCGCTGTAGGGGTTGGCATCTTGCTGGCCATAGGGGTTGTACTGGCCGTAGCCACCCTGGTTTCCACCGTACTTGAATCGACGGGTTAGCAGACTATTTGACGATGCGCAAGTGGTGGGTAATAAGGGGTGGGGTAACGGCAAGGGTCAGGATGATGACGTTCTGGGTGTCGACATACACTCATGGTGAGTTAAATTAGTGTAGTCCTGAGAGTCTTTCAAGTCAAATTGATCGTACAGCCGTCAATTCAGACACCGTGGTCGTGATGCAGCGTGGGTCACTGGTCGCAGCGAGTAATTCCGACAGGTGGACGTAGCTTCGGGGTTGTACGGGAAACGAGAACGGCGATGAATTGCGACTACCGCAGAAAGGGAGGATTAAGAGTTTCGTGGGTAAATAGAGTCGGAGACTGCAAATAAGGTGAAACGGTAAAAGGTGGAGGAGGGGGATAAAAAGGGAACGAAGAGGTAGCAGGCAGGCAGAAAAAAAAGAAGCAGTTGAGGGAATGAGGTGAGAAAGAAAGAATGGGGGAAGGACGAAAGAGTGACGGGTGAGACAAGGCGGCTGAGCCACTGGCGGCTGCAAATCCAAAGGGAAGCCCTCGACGGTTGACTGGCTCTGGCCCGCAGATGGCAAATATGTCACTCAACAACTCTTTTACTTCCAGAAGAAGAGGAACAACAAGTAAGGAACGACTGGGGGTGGGAAGGGAATCAAGAAAGAGGGAGGAAGATGAAGCTGTTTTCTTTCTTTTCTCGCTCTGGTCAATCAGGGGTGAAACCTAGCACTGATGGCTTTTCCTCGATATTATTATTATTATTAGTAGGGGGCGTCTAGCTCGAGCACAGACCGGCCGGCGATCCTCGAGTCCCCTTTTTTCCCACGATGATGATAATCAAAACATTCACCGTCTATGCCCTCTGAAACAGCTCGGTCGGGTCCAAAAAGTGGAATTGTGACGCTGGGCTGAAGGCTCGAAATGTACCATGAGTGATCGAGGTAGATAAAGTGCTGCTGATCGTCGGGGTGCACTTGATGCCATACCCAGTACTTTCTTCATCAGACAGGTCTCTACACCAGAAATCAAGAATGGCCCTGACAGAATCACACCCTTGCTTGCGACAATCTTTGCTTTTTATTGCCAAGTTTGATTGTGAAGCTAAGATTTAAGAAAGAAGATCCCATGGCAGAACAGAGGGACTAATCGCAACTATCTACACTATGTCTTAGAAAGCTATCCACTGTGTGCTGCTCATCCAACACTTGCAACTGTTGTCACAATTTCGTCCCCAAATACGACCGACCATTGACCCTTGAACACCTGCACGAGCTACTGAATTACGTTCCTGGAGCCGTAGAGCGGCACCCTGCACGTCACTGATATGTACCTACTCCATTGGATGTGATCTGGAAACCATGATCTGGGCCCTGGCAGGGTTGAGCTTCAACGGTCTCCCCACCTGCCACCCAGCTTTCCATGACTACGCGCCCAATCTACCCCATACACTGTTAACCGCTGGCAACGAAATAACCAGCGATCAAACTCGCGATGAATCAAATGTAATAAAGCTTTTGACTACAATATGTTAGCTCAATTTCCCCTGACGCCGTTTCCCCACTTCACAATCTCAGCAACGGCAGAACCATGCCTTCAAGTTTCATCTCATTTACTCTCATGCCATCATGCATATTAATCCTACCTTTCAAATAATGGCAATCTCACACAGAACCGTTGCTGAGCACTGAACACAATAATAACAGCGTAAGCAGCTCATCTCAGCTCAGCGCAGCACAATGGAATTCCCACAGCAGCTCCACAGCCGCGATCTAGCTTGGCCAGCGTGTGCCTGTCTAACCCACAAGCGAGAGTAAATTTAGCAACACCGAACTCCATTCGCGGTGCAGGTGCATGCATCCATTCTTCGAATCATGCTTCTAGGAAGGAAATGTCGGTGTCTAAATGGCAATATGCCCACCGCCACATATCAGAGTAGTTTAGCTTGAGCTGAGCCTCAAGTGGGTGGACAAGACACTGCCCCATTCAATTCAATCCCTCGGTCGGGGCTAGTCAATAAACCTCAGGCAGCCATTTTTCCACTCAGTCAAGAGGTCACATGCTCCAGGCAGTGAACTCTCACGTTACTCCAATTATATCCCTAGCATATTGTCGCGTGGTCCAATGCTTATCGCTTTGAAGAAATCACTAGGTGGGTTCATGCGATGAACCTTAAATCTAATATGTCACAGCAAGGGTTTTAGAAGATAAATTTAATTAGCATTTGGTACCTACATGAAAGTACCTTGAACAAGCAGACATATACTGTGACATTAGAACAAGGGTCCGGATGACATAAAGTCGAATGTCTCCCTGCTAACCTCTACAAAATGAAACCAACTGATCCCTTCATCACCATTCAATGAACATGAAAGTCGTACGAGTACTGCGACAACTACCAGACCTACGATACTACCCAGAATGAAGTCAAGTTACACAACGTACAGACAATATTTATAAACGCATTATTGACCACTGTACAAAGTGATCGATTAACATCATAGCCCCAAGCGCAATCATTACTACAACCACCCAGCCCAAGCCACAGACCCAGCAAACCCAGCAAACCCAGCAAACCCAGCAAACCCAGCAAACCCAGCAAACCCAGCCAACTTACGGTCTAGAATCCTTCAAATCCTCCCCCATCCACAGAACCCAGTGGCCCCGAATCCATGGAACCGCAGTAAGGGTCCATCCATAGCTACTCTACCTACTCTACCTACCAGCACACAAGAACAATTTGCAGTTTACACCCGCAAGCCGGCCAGACATCCGAAAATCCCCCCCCC